CCCCGCTCGCAGCGCTGCTGGCGCCTGTCTAATGGCGTCACCGGTGGCCTTTGCATTGTGGGACGGCTGGTTTCCTGGAGCCATCGCTCAAGTTCTTATAGACTGGGTCTGGCCGTTGAAAACTACAACTCCCGGCAGGCGATTGGCTCGCTCGCGCTAGTTCGCGGGACAGCATGGGAATTGTAGGCTCAAGTCTTCGCAAGGGCTTGCATCTGTTCAGCCACTGAATCCTGTCCCAATCAGACCTTCCCGCAGAGCAATCACCTGTAAAGCTGACTGAAAGATTACGAGTTCATATCTTAAAAGACTGATTCAGTAGCTCTGTTTCCGTGTTTCTCAGCCTGTGCTTTTGACATGTACTCAACTCCCACGACATTCTTGAACAATATGATCTGGAAAATTTGGTTAGCAATGGGTTGATCATAATTCTTTTTCAACAAAAATTAACTATTTTGTGTGACAGGGAAGGACAATGCTAAAGCGCTTGGGTGGAGGTCAGAGGACAACTTGTGGCACACTGGTCTTTCCTATGATGTAGGTCGTGGCAATCAAACTCGTATTCTCAAGCTAGGTGACAAGTGCTTTTGCCCACTGAGCTATTTAGCAGGCCTACAAGAAATACATCTATTAAAAAGTATGCACCTGTCTGTTTGATTTTTAATAACAACGCAGATTCATTTTACAAAATCATAAAATAACTAAAGAAAAAAAACCCTGCTATTGTCTTTCTTGCATGTATGGATTTTCTCTTCAATTTTTTTTTTTTTTTTTTTTTTTTTGGTTTTTCCAGACAGGGTTTCTCTGTGGCTTTGGAGGCTGTCCTGGAACTAGCTCTTGTAGACCAGGCTGGTCTCGAACTCACAGAGATCCGCTTGCCTCTGCCTCCCGAGTGCTGGGATTAAAGGCGTGCGCCACCACCGCCGGCTCTTTCTCTTCAATATTAAATATTGTCAGTATTACTAATTGTAGAGCCAGAATGTGCTAGAAGTAATACTGCTGCACTCTTTAAACACTTTCACAGCTATCTGAAAGCCAGCACCACTATTTCTTTCTGCAGATGCAGAGATGGAGGAACAGAAATAATTACTCTGGTCTTATACCTAGAAACAGAAGAGGATTTTAACTCAGATTCCCTGTGTTCCAGTGTTTAATCAAAGACATCCACACACCTGAGAACTAGCTGTCATTTTTCAACCAGTAAAAAAAAAAAAGGCTAACATGTACAGCCACAAGTCTGTACTGAATTCCCCACTGCCCACTGTTGTCACTTCTGGAAATAAGTTTGGGGTTGCAAAGAGAGACCATCGCTCCGGATGATGTGTCTGTAACAAGAACTTTACTCTTGATCCAGAGGATGTGCTGGGGCGGGAACAGGCAGGGAACCAGACACACCTAGACAGGAAGTGCATTTGGTTTTTATTCTAAGGAAGGTGGTGGCTGCGTCTTTTTCCCCATTGGCTAGGGTCCAACCTCACAATCTTTATTCAGCTGGCTAGTCTGAAAAGAATTTGTGCACAAGAAATAGAGAAGGAAGGGGAAAGAAATCACTGCTCCAAGGAGAAAAGGGTCACTGCTCCAGGCCATCAAATTCCTGGACTATAGTAGTGGGCCTTTGTGTAAGTAATAGTTTCCCTGGGTGGAGAGGCTTCAAATATCTACAAGTCTTACAAGGTGGGGGAGACAAAAGAATATTAATTCCTTGTTCTAAACACAAGTATGTATGTATATATGTAGGTATGTATGGTTTTTATTTTTTTATTAGTTCAAATTAGGAACAAGCTTGTTTCACATGTCAATCCCTTTGTTTTTATTTTTTGAGACAGGGTTTCTCTGTGTAGCCCTAGATGTCCTGGAACTCGATCTGTAGACCAGGCTGGCCTTGAACTCTGAGATCCACCTGTCTCTGCCTTCCGAGTGCTGGGATTAAAGGTGTGAGCCACCTTATCTGGCTTAAGTTTTTTGTAGTTTATAGGAAAGATCATATTTTCTATTTCTTACATACCACTGTCCTCCTTTCCTTTTATTCCTTGGCTGATCTCTCAGACCTACATCTCCTGCAGTTATTCCTCATCTCACGTGAACATGGGAAAGGAGGTGAATAAATTTTACAATACCCCTGGCTCCTGGGAAGATGCAGACTAGGCAGAGATCCAAGATGCTCTCACCCAACATTTACTACTCAAGAGAGCTTAAATTAGACCACAAAACAAGTAGCCACTTTTAGTTCATACTCCTTTAAATTAGCCCAGCCAGTCTCAGAGGTTAAACTAATCACATTCTCTCACAATAGGTTGCAATCCTTTGGGGTATCTCAAGTATTTCTACTATTGATCCATGCTGACCTCTCTTATTTAAGCTCCAAGGAAGCCACATTAGGGATAGCTCAACCCCACCATGGTGGGGGGGGGAGCAGAGGTGTGTGTCACTCTTTTTTTAGTCCACCCAATCTCAATTTTAGTCATACCACATCTTATTCTCTTTCTTCACAAAAACTTTTCTGGCCCCAGGCTCGATGCGCTCTATGGTTGAGTCATATTCTTAGAGCAATTGTTGTAATTGGAAGTGAATAATTTATAGCATCATTGGCCATCTACACTCTCTCTCGCTCTCCTCCCCCCCCCACACTCCTATTTCCCTGCAACCCTACCCAGAGTGTAAGCTTCAGTAGAAATCATGACTGTTTATTTTGTCTGGGTGCTCAGCATGACACTTGGTCAAATGTCCCTGTCTATTTCCTAGTTGTAGAATAGTGTAACCATCCTGGCAAGAATGAAGATATTCTAAAGAGCTTATGTTCTGCCCTTTGACTATCAGAATATGGTCCAAATAAATCTAGTAGGTTCTGTTATGGTGGAAGCTTCACCCCAGCCCCTAGCATCCATATACCCAAAGAGTCTGGAATGTTATGGTGGAAGTTTCACCCAAGTCCTGCTCCCCTATCTCCCTCCAAACCCTGTTGCATCTCAGAAAGCCCCCCACAAATGATGACCCCTGCCCCAGAGATGTTCAAGACCACTCCTGAAGGATATTTAAACTGCTCCCCAGAAAATAGATGTGTTTTTCCATTCTCTTTCCTGTCTCCTCTCTAGGGGACTGGAAGGCCATCCAGGAGTATTGTATCCATTAAACGTGGGCTTTTTCTAATTTGGTTTGATTTGGTCTGATTTGGATTGCTGTGTCAGTAGAGAGGCTTATCAGAGATGCAGAAACTTTTCAGGTTCTGCCTGGAAGACCCTCGGGCTGACAGTGGGAATAGATTGAAGTCTGGTGCCAGCCAGGGGAAAGCTGTTGATCCCTCTGGGCAAGAATAAGGCCACTACCACAAATCTTGAGCCAAATTTAAAGCTAGCTTTATTAAACTTCAGACCGGACAATGGACACTGGCCAGGGCCATACCTGGGATTCCCAGAGAATGGCTGTGAATAGAATCAGTCAGGTACATATAAAGACAAAACCCACATGGCTGTGCACTTCCTGCCTTTATCCAATTGGGGGCAGACGTATATCCTGGTGTACTTCCTGCTATAAGGTCTCAAACCTGGGAAGAATGGCTGGGATGCCTATTTAACATATCTAAACAGATGCTGGACACTCAGGTGCTTCCTACATCCTTCAGTCCCTACTTGTTACAGGGCCCTTCTGGCTGGCATATACCACCCCGTATCCTAAACTTCTCCAGCCCAGGGAATGGGCTGCCCTTCCCCCGGCTGCCCTTCTGTCTTAGGGTCTCATTGCTGTGAAGAGACACATGACCACCGCAACACATATAAAGAAAATTCTTTAATTGAGACTGGCTTACAATTTCAAAGGTTTAATCATTATCGTCATGGCAGGAAGCATGGTGGCATGCAGGCAGACATAGAGTTGAGGAGTTAGCTGAGAATTCTACATCTGGATCCGAAGGCAGCAGGAAGTGACTGAGACACACTTCCTCTAACAATGCCACACCTATTCCAATAAGGCCACACCTCCTAATAGTGCCCCTCCCTACGAGTTTATAGGAGCCATTTTCTTTCAAACCACCACACCTTCCCTGTATAATCCAGCCATTTTGGTTACCTGAACTTTTCATCTATTCTCTTGGTCAGTCTCTTAGCCCAGGCTTCCCCTCTTGGTTGGCAGCTCCCCTCCCCTTTCTCCTCACATGGCTCAAGGTCATAGGGCCCAACCATGACAAGCTCAAGAGAGGCCTGAGTTTCAGATTACCCTAAGGCAATACTGGGCTCCAGGAAAGACCACAAACTGAGACCACCAAGGTACCGCCCAGGAACAGACCATCCAAGGGGAAAGTACCTAATGTTCCAAAGGAAATTCCTAAGGTTCAAACTGTTGTAGAAAGGATCACCTGATGTCCCTTAGCCCAGCACAAATGTCAGCCAATCAGGGGTCCTGAACCTTAGAAATCCCTTACCCCAACCTCTGCTATGATAAAAACAAAAACAAAAACAAAAAACAAAACAAAACAAAAACCCACCCAAGCTCAAGGCTCTCTGATCATACCGGAGCATTGTACACAAGGAGAGTATTAGTTCAAACTTGAATAAAGGCTCTTTGCTTTTACATACAGAGATTCAGTCTCCTTGTTGGATTTTGGGGGACTCTGAGATCTGGGCATAACAATATCCACTCTGGACTCTCCCAGATATCTCTGCCTCTGGATATGCTTGTTATGATAAAGCTTGAAGAGGACCTTGTGTGGGGGACCTTGGCAGATTCCATGGCATGCAAGGTTGACTGGGGGGGGGGTCACAATACAATGACATGGACCAGGACAACCACACACACACAAACACACCAGGCAGACAGAGCTTAAGTGAGAAGTTTATTACAAAGGGGAGGGGAGGGGAAGGAAAGAGAAAGAGGTAAAGAGACACAGAGACACAGAGGACAGAAGAAGAGAAGAGGAAGACAGGAA